ATGGTGGAAACGCCCACTGGCGGCCATCTTGGAAACTTGAAAATAATTTCCAGCATTTTCCCTTGCCCACTTTACCTATAAAATTTTTTACCGTAGCTCTCTACGATCACTAGTTTCTGAGATACAGCCGCTTACCTCGCTTATTTGCCCACCCTGTACATATAGCAAGGCCGCTATAAGTTTTTTTATTATGGCACAGAATTTTCTTGGTCGATAGTGGGATAAATATCTGGATAACTGCAAATCAATATTCACTGGGTATCCGTATTTGTGCAGAAAATTAAAAGTAGATGAATGGCAAAAGTATATCGTCATTGCACCTTCAAAATGTAACATGTGTGTTTTTTCAAATTGTTCAGTGGAGTTAAAAAACTGTTTCTTGGCCTTTTTCATTTAATAATTACAACAATTATTTTTTATTTTACTGTGGATAGTCACAATTCTGTAGAAAATAAAATGACTTTTGTTAATCAGATTATGCAGCTTGATGTCGTTTATCGAAAAATTCTGCACTTAACGCTTTTGCTGAATAAATGCACATATCGTATTGTGAAAGTGCAATGACGATATATATGTGAAAAACATTTAAAGGAATGCTCAAAACAACTGTTATGTCCATAAAACATGATAAACAGCATAGCATCTTAAAATAGCTGTTTTTAATTTATGTGTCACATAAATATGTATATATATTTCTTTCCATGGAAAAGGTTGTTAGCAAATAGTTTTAGAGGAGTATTTGCTATTTACTTACGCAATACACAAATATTTCGAAAGATATTTGAAGTAGATTAATGAGAATTGGACTGGTGTCTTAACTAAATAAAGGTATAAATTCACTGAATTTTATTATACAGGGTGATTCAGAACTTATCCAAAAAAATTTGGGAATAGATGCGGCATGAGAAATGGAGTCAATATCGTAAAAAAATTTTTTGTAAAATCTATAGTTTCTAAGAAAAAAATTATTGAAGTTATAGTACATTCAACCACTACATAGCTGTACAACTGTAGTCTCTAGCGTCATTCGCAATACGCGTGGAGAGCCACATGGCCTCAGCGACTCCGAATACTGAAACCCGATTTTGCAATCAACGCGATTGTGTTTACCTGTTATCTGAGGTGTTTACAATAGTTTTTTTAGTAGTTAGTGTCAAAAATGGTTTGCGTGTATAGCAACTCGGAGTTGGTTGATATCGTTTTAAATTATGGTGAAGCAAGACAACATTTGTGTTAGCTCGTAGAAACTGTATAAGACGGACCTAAATGTGTTTACACGTTGGTGGATAAAATTTTGAACAATTGTAACATCGGGTATGTCAAATGATTTTATTATTTAAAAACACAAATTAATTTTATTAATTAATAAAGGCAAAGGCAGTTGAATTTGCCGATTTAAAATTCTATTTATTTCTTTCCTTGCGAAAGTTTTTGTCCGTTTTTATCACACCACCATTCCGGTCGCATTGTGTGAGGTCAGGTTTTACAGTGGACCAGTTTCCAGTGTCGTGCAGAAGTGTACCGTTTAATTTAAACTTCAAATCATAGTCGTAAAATTCAATAGTTGTCAAATATACATATATGTCACTTAGAGCAAACGTAATTAAATGTAAACAAGTAACGTATGCCGGAGCATTTAACTGAAGCGATAGAGCAAGGGCTATAGCTAAATTAGAAGATAATTGGTCTTTAAGTGAAGTGGCTGCTGTTCTAAATACCAGTAAGAGTTGTATATTTTATATTAAACAATGGCGAGAACAATAATTACAAAGACCTATCAGGCAAGGTGTCGGGAAGGTTTCCAGTGACGCGGAAGACAATGCTTTGGTCGAATTTATCCATAAGAATACCCTCTCGGTGTTACGCCACTAAAAAAAGTCTGGTTTACTACGATAAAATTCAGATGAAATTTCCATAACAACCAAAATGCGTTCACATTTGGGTGGTGCCAAATATACATTCAGAATTTATTTTTTTTGATAAGTTCTGAATCACCAGTGGTAGAAATACTGAGGGACACCATTACTAAGAACCTCAGTAATTCGACGTAATAGAATATTTCGTAAGTTTATTTGATCTGCTATTGTACGATGAAAAGAGATTTTTTTTATTTCATTTCAAAAGGAATAATTTCCGAGTTTTTTTCTCTGAAATATTA